TTTAAACCATCACATTGAGCTGTTGCATGCTTTTAACTAGCTATACCGTGTTATATCTTAAATGAAAGGGTCAATTAAGATATAACACGGTATAGCTAGTTAAAATTAAATTTTCTATTTCCCTCCCAAATGTAACCTCCATAATCATCTTAATTTATTTACTTTCTTCGTGCGTGTTTGGGTCACATACATACATGAATGTACCATATGTCAACTTAATCGGTTCAGTAGATTTCGAGCAAATAGACTGTGAGCTGTGACAGACAAACAACTGAGCGATCCAATAAGGGTTCCGTTTTTGCCGATTGAGACACGGTACCGTAAAAAATAATATATTTATATTTTCTCCTACACTGTTTCTTCGGTATCACAACACTTGACATTAGCATATCGAGCGATTGTCCCTTCAATGTTATCGATTTTCACGCAGCTTCCCCTAACCCAGTTCCTTTGTAGTGTGTTGTCGTGAATGAAGAGGGTGTAATGTTAATGTTCAACTTATGTTAGCTTTTACGTTAAATATCTTTAATACTTACAAAATGGAAATATTCTAACGCTGGTTCATCGACTAACGAGCATTAAATAACTATCACTATTATGAAAATTCTTGACGAACACCGTTAAATAAAGAATGAGAGCTTTGTTATAGAACCTTGTCTGTTGTTATACAATGGCGACGACTATGGCATGATTCTCTAAACCTAAAATTAAATTGGACATCAGTGTATGCTTGTCATTCTCTAAACAGAATGAAAAGGATAGACTGATGTTAAATCTAGTTTTAACAATAATGTCAGAATCGACAACATTGTTATGTCTTTGTCATCCGTCCGTCCACATGTCCACAGTTTAGGTCTACGCTCTCAGTACCAGGAAACTGTAATATGGCATAGTTATACATATTAATGACGTCAACAGTACTAAATTGTACATAAATATTTGCTAAAGGCAAATGCCTAATTGTCAATTGGAGTGGGTTTTATTTTCCTCGGGTCAGCGATTAAGGTCTGATGCACATAATTTTGTACAACCTAAATTTAATCTGTAACTGCATTTGTACCTCTTCCTGTGTTCTGATTTTTTGACAATATAAAAATCCTGAAAACATTTCGAGTTTAATATGAACAGAATATATCTTTTTTATAGAGTTGGTGTACAAGGTGTAGTCGGTTGGACTGTGCTTTTGTTTTGAGTGTTTTTGACATTAAACTTATTGAATGGAATTCCAATGTAATGTAAACAAATAGTGAATGTACCTCCCCTGCTCGGAAATATAGGTGGGTCACCGACACCGCGCGTGCCGCAATCATCCGCCCGCTTATAGAGGTCGTTATTGATTTTCCGCTCCCTGCTAAATATAGAACCAACATTTTTAACCTTGCTGCATACAAACAAACTGCTTGGATTCTCATCCACTGTTTCAATTTGAAAATTTTGTCATTTGATTATTAACAATTCTTTTGTAGTATTAACAATTTATTGGATCAGGAAGTTAAAGAACACAGCTTCTAATACACTATAGTGTACTTTGATTTTACTATAAATGAAAGAGCTTGTTCGATTGATAATTTAAAGATACATACATTATAAAAGTGTATCTGTATCAAATTGATTAATGAAAATTATGGCTATGTAAATATTTTTCAAAGACTATAATTTATGGCGATTCAATTCGATAATACATAATAATCTGCACCGCAATGTATTTATTATGTACTTTTTTTAAAATCACACAGTAAACACTATGCGATTAGATTACTTAGAATTCGAATTAATTAAGACGGATAAAATTTGATTTATAAAAAATAGTCCAAATTTTGATAAATAATATAACATTTTTCTATGTTCAAATTATAAACCAGTAAAATTGTGATTGAAAAAAAGGAGAACGTTTGTGGTGCAGGTTTTTGCATTTCACACTGATATGAACTGGTAATAAATAATAACAAATGCTCCGTTACTTCCTGCCGATGCCCAGTTGAATAGTGGAGCCGCACTGCAGGCCGTGTGCAGCCAAGCACGTGCTCACGTCATAATGTCTTCCTAGCATTTCTATGTATAGTAATGCTAATGACCGCTAGTTCACGATATATTAAGCCACTCATATTATACTACGCATGTTTAAAAAAAACTCAATTCGTGATCGGAATCAAGGCCGTCCACATTACTCTTAAATGACGCAAAGCCTGTATCGATCGACCGTTCTGTTTCCCTACAGGCAATGTCAAGGCTAACTACCAATACATGCAGTTAAAAACAAAACGAACAGTAAAAATGTCCTAATGATTACTACGTTTTTATTAAGTAACTTTCTTATTTGTCTGCTTGTCTGTCGTGGCCGGTGGAATCCTACAACATAAAGTGACCCACTTGCCAGTTTCCGATTAAGCTGAAATTTAGCATGGGTATGTAAACCGGTTGAAAATATAACATTATTATAACGCAGAGCTGAACTGATCATGGAGCCGGGAGGTGACCAAGGGATCTCAATAAAAAACGTTGCACTCCCAGTTTGGGCTCATATAATTCTTTTGACCGCAGCCGAATGATGGCCATGTGAACTCTGCGGTATAACAATCCAATGTTATAGAGTTTTTTTTATCGTCTTGACAAGGATACTGGTCCTAGAGTTATTCAGGGTCTAATAATAATAACGAAATCCGATGGTGGTCTAGGGAATTGTCTTTTAAAACAACGTAATCCTTTTGAAATTGGACTCGTCTGATTTGTTTTGACAAGTAATGGTTTTAGTATCTGATGCTTATTATACAAAATAAGTAAACCAGAAATTAAACATCTTCAATGAATAGTACGCCCCACGCTTTGTGTATGATGGTGTGTTGTCATCAAGTATTCTGGAGGTTTATATTTATTGCTTTTTAATAATGTTCAGTCGTTTCTTGGATTCAAATAAAAAAAAATCTGGTAAATAATACTTGTACGTTTCGATTCTTTATATAGAAATCTGTTAATATTAATGCTATGCAGATTCAGAAATTCTGACATTGGCCGTAGGCGAAACATATGCTCGTTCACGCCCTAATTATTGTATTAAGATATTATTATTCATACTAATATTATGAAGTGTGCCTGTCTGTTACCTCTTCACGTTTTAAAAATTGAACTGATTTAGATAAAAATTTATTGTAGAGATAACACTGGAAAACAGCATGTCTGTTGCATGGGATTTTTTACATGAATCTGAATAGTTTTTCCACACTGATTTCAAAAATATATGTCGTTTATATGTAGCAGCTCTAGTTTTGGAGTTAACAAGTGACAGGGTTTTCCATGGAAAATGCACATAGTTAAAGTTTAAAAAAAATATTAAATATATTTATTCTCAATAAAATTTCCTTTTTTTGGATTTTCAAGAGTGAGGTGTATTATGAGTACTGTTTTGAATGTTCCAACAATAATCAGCTATCATATGTTCATTCCAATACCCTGATACCTCTCCTCCATAGTGCGAATATCCTGGTGAAATCGCTCTCCTTGTTCCTCGCTTAGGTCACCGAGATTTTCAGGAAAATAGTCTAGATGGTTGTGAAGGTAATGAAGTTTAATACTCATGTTGCATTCAAGACGCTGGAAGTGTATCAGCACCGTTCAACGTGCTGAATGTAGCCGTCAGATTTCCTATTGCCCAAAAAAATTCTCGCTACCCAAACAAACTCTTCCCATGCACATTTGCTCGACAGCTGTCATATGGTTGATGAAATTTTTATCATCGATCATCTTGATTTTGTGGAGAACTAAAGATATTGTAGGATATTCTTCTTTAACCTTTGTAGAATGAGCAATAGGTAAGGAACCAAGTTTGTTACCATTATGTAAAAATACACATTTCAAACTTCGTTTGGACGAATCAATAAAAAACCGCCACTGATTTGGATTATACTCTTTTAATCCCATTGCAGTCATTAGGCCCGGAATATCAGTACAAAACACAAAATTATCTTTTTTAGTAAAGAAAGGAAGTAAATCCTTTTCCCTGTTACGGTAGTACGATATCTTCGTTTCTCTGGTCAACAAATTTCTTTTCTTTCAATCGGGAAGCTAATATTTCTGATGCCGTTTTAGACAGTCCAAGGTCCCTGATCAAGTCATTTAGATCATCTTGATTTAGTGGTCGGGGACTACCGTAGCAAAATCACTGTCACTACTACTGCCGTCTTTTTCGGTTTGTCCGCTGCACTGGTCTGGATTTTCTGAAGATGTACATGGCTGCTGTGGTGTTGATGTGTCACTAATACTCAAGACTGGTCTTATGGTAGATTTTAAGTTCGGATATATCCACTTAGAGCAATTTTTATGGTTTATTCCTATGATTTTCGTTACACAGAAATAACAGTCGTCATGATGGTTGGATGATTCACGCCAAATCATAGGAGCTTTGTACTTAAAAGTGGGTCTTTTTTTGTTTGGCCACAGTCGCAAAGATTCAACACAACTTTTACATACCAAACTTGGTATCCAAGGTTTAGCGTTTGACGGCTACGGAAACCCCAAGTAGTCGAAGTATGCCTTTTTCACAAAGTCCGACACATTTAAACCAAATTTTTTGAACACATATTCTCCACAAATAACACAAAAACAATCATGATTATTTAAAGACGTCCTTCTTGAGGAAGACATAATGAAATTTATAAAGGAACTAGTTAAGTTACACCGCTATTGATAGAAACTATCGACTACTTATGCAAATTCAAGACGGTACCTGTATCTCAATAACAAGAGCTGCTATAAAAAATCTGAGGGTAGATTTGAAATCAGCGCACCCAAATTAGTAAACAACAGTAGAAAAACTTTATGCAACAAAAAAAAAGTATGATTTTGTTTTTCTGTGTAATTTGAGTCCCGGGAAAGGACATAGGATAGTTTATATCACAGTAATATAACTGATTATTCCACGAAGATTAAGTCGCGAGCACCCACTAATTGTTCTATTTATTTGCCACTGTATTTTTTAAATGATGAAAAATATTATTATTTTGCAGGAAAAAGGAACATCACTGCCAGCGCAGCGTTTAAATAAATACCCTTCAAGAGGCTTATTAAAACATATTTTACAACAGACTTACAATCAGGCAGTTGCTGATCCTGATAAACTTAATCAATATGAGCCTTTCTCTCCTGAGGTTAGTTTCATAGTCATTTCGGTACCAAATTAATTTTGATTATATAATTTTATATGTCACCGCTCATCATCGTCATGTATTATGCTTTCTATTTATTTTATTAACACTACCCTAAACACATCGATTAAAGCTACTTTGACCAGAATGGCATACAATACATGGACACACCAACCCATTAACATAACAGACGCGACTGGTTCAAAGTAGTTTTAATTTGAATACAATATAAATTTAATGCGTTTTTACGGTTTCAGGTGTATGGCGAAACGTCGTTTGAGTTAGTATGTCAAATGATTGACCAAATCGACATTTCGGCGGAAGATGTTTTCGTGGATCTGGGATCAGGAGTGGGTCAAGTGGTACTGCAGATGGCTGCAGCGACTCCTTGTCGCATATGTTTTGGTGTAGAAAAGGCTGAAGTTCCTAGCAAATACGCTGAAGTATGTTATTCCTACAATGTTATATAAAAGCGAAACCTTACTTTTCACTTATTATTTGGTACTTATCTAATATTTTTTTTATTCTAGAACATGGATTTAAACTTTCGGATGTGGATGCGCTGGTATGGGAAGAAATATGGAGAGTATAAATTAATAAAGGGCGATTTTTTAATGGATGAACATAGAGAAAAAATTAATGCAGCTACCATCGTGTTTGTAAATAACTTTGCGTTTGGCCCTAATGTGGACCATCAATTAAAGGAAAGATTTGCTGATTTGAAAGACGGAGCAAAGATTGTGTCGTCAAAAAGCTTTTGTCCTTTAAACTTCAGGATAACAGATAGAAATTTGAGTGACATTGGGACCATCATGCATGTCAGTGAGATGTCTCCGCTGAAAGGATCTGTCTCGTGGACAGGGAAACCTGTATCTTACTATTTACATATTATAGATAGGACCAAATTGGAGAGATACTTCCAAAGACTGAAAAATCCGAAACTCAAGGTCAGCAAAAGGGTCTGTTTCCAATCACATCATCTTTCTATACTAGATTTATATTTATTTATTGGTAGGTGACTGCTACTTTTCTACTAGTCTCTGTTATTATGTTGCACTGTATAAATATAATTGATTTATGTAAGTACTTGAAATTATAACTATACTATGTATTTTTTAATATGTAAAGTTTTATTGATATTAACATTTATTAGGTATATTAATATTGATATATGTATATACATATACAATGACATTTTGAACTACTTTTGTCATTCATCCATTTAATCATTCATGTTTTATATATAACATTTTAATAATAAGAAATAATGTTATGTAAGTATAGCAGTAATTATATATTTAACTATAATATGTTATGAAGATTATTTACTTATCCACAGTACAATTTTAAAAGATAGTTATACCTTCAATATGTGTTGTATGGAGTAAAAATGAAATGATTTTTTATTCGTTATTTATTTTACATAGGGTTCACATAACGGCTGTGAGGAGGGCGAGAGTAGTAAAAGAAATCTAAGTGCTCCGCCGACAAGGCAGCCCACGCCGGACTTGCTCAATGGGAACAGCAATCATAGCACTGGTTCTTTGCCAGAACGTAGGAGGAAAGTCGCACGAGCGCGCCCTGTACGGTGAGTAGATATATAATATAATTATGATATGCTATTGCCTACAAGTTTCTGATATTGCTCTTCATGAAGAGAGATTGGTGATTATGAACTGCACAAGAAAGGCAGCAGCAAAGATAAATTATCTTGCTATTATTTTATCTATCAAAGTTAACGTGGTAGATTTGAGATAAATATATTAATAAGTATAAATTTATCTCTCCTCGATGCACCTCTACGATGCCACACTTAGCCTTGGTAAAGCGTTGTATTGTTCTGAAGTTTTGAACTAAGAATAGTAAATACCAGGTTGCCGCCCTACCTCTTACAATATATAACTAATCTGCTCCTCTATTGTATTAGGAAACATTTGTAAAGTTATAAAGTTTTGTAATAAATTGACAAATAAAATAATTTGGTCATGTTTCTTTCAATACTTTACACAGAGGCGAGAATGGGCGGACGAGGGCTCGTGCAGCTGTGGCCAAGCGGCGTGCGGCTCGGCAGTCCACGGACGAGGAGAGCGAGGAGGAGTCGAGCGGCACCGACGACGCGCCGCCCGGCCCCGAGCCAGCCCCGCGAGAGTGGGGCGCACCTTGGGCCTCTTCTTCCGATTCCAGTGTGTACTCATGATCACCATCTTTCTGACACATCATGCTCTGCTGTGGCGAAGCGGTGCTCGGCTCTCAGTCCAGGGACGAAGAGTGCGCAACGATATTAAATTCGGCTATTTACCCGAGATACAACATCACGAACAAAATCATGGCCGAAACCTGTCCAAAAGGTACGTTGGATGATCCACGGAGCTCCGAAAGATAATCGCGCTGTCAAGAACAATATAAGGCATTATTTAAATATGGAAAGTCACCTTTAATGCATACTTTATAAGGTCTTAATTAAAACGTATGCGTCAAAGAGTTATATGCGGAAGTATATAGACCTTATTTCTTTAACACTACCCGCAATTCTGAATGCGCTGTTAGCAATATAGCAGATCCGTACCGCGAGGAAAAGAGACGGATATATATCTATAACCGCATGCATATGAATATAACAAATATTTTATATTAAATTTTACTTTAAATGCGTTAAATTAAAACATTGATTAGATACCTGTCGAAACAATAACGATTTCGTACTATAATTTTTTTTTTCGATTTTTTTGAGGAGCTCTGCGGCATCTTGACTTCTCAACGGTCCGCGCGTAACTGTGAACCAAGAAGTGCTTGAGTGGTATTTAATATCGTTGGGAGAGCGAGGAGAAATCGAGCAGCACCGACGACATGCCGCCCGACTCCAAAACAGCGCCGCGCGAGTGAGGCGTGCACTAGGGCCTTTTCCTCCGATTCCAGTGTGAACTCATCAACATCTCTCTGACAAATCATGCTCTGCTGTGACGAAGCGACGCGCGGCTCGGCAGACCACGGAAGAGTAGCACGAGGAGAAGTCAATCGCTCTTTAAAAGTGTTACGCGACCGGGGCCGGGGCCTACTCCGATTTTAGTTATATTCATTATTATCACTGTCTCTCCAGAATCTAAAATAAAACCAGCCGTGCAATTCTGTAAGAAAAAAATCACTTCACCGCGGATTCCGTGTGTGATTTGAAATTAGAATACAGATATGAATCCATCAAAAGTGAGTTTGTTCTTACAGAATTAACTGGCTGTAGACAGTACTGGATGAAGAAGAATTTCATGAAATACGTTATTTGAGGAAAGTTTATAAAGTTATCATTTTATACATAAACTGCTAGATTTTCATTTTTTAAGAAAATGTTATTGAATCAGAGTGTTATTTGAAAAGTAAAAATAATATAAGGTCAGCGTTTTGTTGATAACTATCTATAACATTACATTGCTCTTCTAGATCGGAGTCGGCGTTCGACGAGCAAGCGTAGCGCGAGCGCCGGCGGCGTGCGCAGACGGGCCGCCGCGCGCGCCAAGCGACGCCGCGCCGCGCCAGCTGCCATCGCCGGCCTCGACCTGCTACACTCCACCACGCTCGCGTCTACGGCCAGGAACGGCGCCGTGAGTTCCCGATAACCGGGTTTGGGGACGGCAAGATGACCTCAAGCCGAGAATTGGCGAGTGCCTCTAACGGTATTCCAGGCGGATGGCACTCCCCACAGGGGGAGTCTCCTCTCCGTCTGGATCCTCTAGACCCCTCTAACCTGAGGGGGTCGGCTCGAGGGCGTCTCGTGAGACTCAGACTTCGGCTCTAGTTAGCCGTTGTCGTGGGGGTCGGGGAAAAATGCCCAGGTACGTACCTGTACCTGGTATAGCGTATCGTGTGTAGACCGGGTCTTTGCACTCTTATCCTACGGGTGTCTGCTTAATGCTAAGCTAGAGTGCAAGTAAGCTAGCTGTGTAGTGTTGGTGTTTGTGGCCTGTGTGGGAGGAGTCAGAGCCGCGTTGGCGCGGGTGATTCCGTCGTCGGGGTACCTAGGCCGACGGAATCGGAGGGACCTACGATCGGAGGACAGGAGGGCGAACGTGTGATAACTACAGGCTTTCACTACTAAGGTAGTAGTTAGGTTAGGATGATGCGCGGCTGTATCGAAGTAACGTTTGGAGGCGTCCTTCATATACTTCGCGATGGAGTATAATTGGAGATCGCGATGCAAATCAATGTTGCACACGTACCACGGGCAAAGCGTGGCACCGCGCAACACACGGTTTTGCAGTGTTTGTAGGGATTTAAGACGCGACGGAGGTATGTGGGCGAAGCAAACATCCCGCCGCAGGGGAAGGCGACGAGGTTATGTAAGGCGCTGGCCCAACGGACGCTCGAGAGGAGAGGGCCCTACCCACTAAAAACCTGACGCTGACCCTCACCTCACCGATGGGCCGTGATCTCGTCGGGTAGAATATTCGTTATTAGGCAGCGCCACGCCCATCGAGGTCAGGGCACTAACGAACAATTACGTTAACGTTCACGCGCATCTCAATATAAACTCAACGTGGTGTTTGTCAGGAAACCGCTCCGCCTCCGGGCTGCGTGGAGCAGCGCCTGTCCGCACTGGGCGTACAATTGCAGCCCGCTGACAGACTGCACTCGGAACTTGACATCCCGCGCTCGCCGCACACGCCGTACAGCCTGCAGCTGCTGCTGGACATGTTCCGCGACCAGTATTTGGCGTTCATACACCGCATGAACACGCCCGAGTATGCCAGCGATATACGCCACCAGATCGACAAAGAGAAGGTCAGTCAGCCCATCCTTTACAAAATATTAAAACTTTAGTTGTTGAGGAGAATTGGTAAGCGCATTTCGGCTGCGATCGTTGAAGCCTGCAGCTGTTGCTCGACATGTTCCGCGACCAGTACTTGGCGTTCATACTGCTGCTGGCAACTTTCGCAGTGGTCGGTTATTGGATGAGTGATCAAAAATTGACTATCTCCAGCTTCTCCGTGCTCCGAAAGGCACGTTAAACCGTTGGTCCCGGCTGCATCCGCAGTCACTAGCACTCACCAATCCGCACGGGGCCCACGTGGTGGTTCATGGCCCAATCACCCTATTCCATCTATAGGGATGGCCTGCGCCCCAGTTGTGGGGACATTAAAAGGCTGATGATAATAAAAAGTTTTTATCATATATTGACGATGTGGTGGATTTACAGTCACACCTCTAAAACTGTCCCGATACTATTGTTATGAAAAAAATATAAAACGATGTACTTTGATTGAATAATTTATTACTACAGCACAATTAAAGTAGTAAAAGTCATATTAAGTCGCGCGGCGCCGACGATAGCAATATACTAAAACGTTTGCCCGTATTTGTATCCTAAGATGACTCACGCCAGACCGTGCCGGGCCCGATCCGAGCGTCGGCCATAGTACAGTTGTTTCCGAGCGTTGTCCGTTCACTCGGTTGCCTCTCGGTATGCGTCAGTGTGTCCTCATAAAAAATGTATGTATGTGCTACGGCCGACGCCTGGTCCGGACCCGACACGGTGTGGCGTAAGTCATCCTTAAATGTGTTTATCCTAAGATACATTATTACAATTTCAGGAGAGAAATCAAAAGCTGAAATCCAGAGCTTCACAGTTAGACAAGCAGATTAATGTGTTAATAAGCGATAGTGTCGCGTTATTGAAGGCACGTATGAGTGAGTTGGGTATACACGCCAATAACACAGTTGACTTGCTAGCCAAAGCTAAAGAAATAGTGGGGCGACATAAGGAGCTGCAGAGTAAAGCAAGCAAGCTACAAGCACAGGTAAGATCAATTTCTGCTGGTGATTTCTTTTAAACAAACTATTCTGTGTAAAAAATATTTACATATCGTGTTTTTCCTAGGTGAATAATATAGAAGCTGAACAAGCCATGCTGGTTAAACAAAGGACGTTTGAAATCACTGAAAAATATAGACAACTGGGTCACATACCACCCGACGTCGAAATCACACAAAGTATAGCTCACGACTGTATACTAAAAGAGATATCTGCGACTTTAGCTCACAGAAAAAGACTGCACGCTCAAGTCGGTCATCTACAGAATGAGATCATGCAAATGGAGAGAGCAACGGAGCAGCAAAAAGTGGTACCGACGGGCGTTCCCGTGGCCACCGTGAAACCGCACACGGTTAACTCGAAGCCGAGGAAATCTAGGGAACACCGTTCACGATCACAAGAGTGGCCAGACGTGCCGGACGTGGGCAAAATAGAGGAGCAAAACCCCGAGATCCTAGCGCAAAAGATATTGGAGACTGGACGCCAGATTGAAGCGGGGAAGATATCGAAGCCGAACGTCATAGTTAACGGTTACGTGCGCGAGATGGATCATAGGCCGAAAGCGGCTCCTGTTCATCGTACGCCGCCGCAGCCGCAAGCGCGCGGGCCGCAACTGCCGCCGCTGGCGCATCGTCACTCTCCAGTTAAACCGCAGAAACCTTTGAACGTCGTATCAAAAGTGCAGGAATCGCCGAAAGTAATAAATTTTGAAGATCGCCTCAAGAGCATTATAACGTCGGTTTTGAACGAAGACCAGGAGCAGCGTAAAGCGGCGCGTCAAACTACGCCGGCGGCGCACCCATACGCGCATACTAATGGGTACGTTCGGCCTGCTTCGGCGGCCGGGGCGTATCAAAGAAGCGGCGCGGGGACTCCACAAGGCACTCACGCGGCGTACGCCCGAGTGGGGGCGAACGCTGCGCCGGCGAGGGAGTTCCGCCGCGAACGTTATCCGCCATATGAGCGCCGCGATCCGCCACGTCTGCCGAACGCGCACCTAGATCGACCCGATCTGAGACATCATCATGTCAACCAGCCGGATTACACTCAGGTATGTTTGCTTTATCTAGTTTTTATTTTGTTCAAAACACTAATAGCATTAACACATTATATGAAAAGAATAACATATCATTTACTCAGACATTAGTTTTAATTTTATTTTTTAAGCATATAACTGCATGATGTAATAAATCTAACGAAAATATAACTAGAAAATATCCACGCAGACCCGGCAGCAGACGGGATTCGAACCCTTTCTTCTTTCAAATGTTTAATACTTGTAAAAGTATTCATTTGACATTGTGGGTTAGCTACAATGGGAAGAGATGGCTCTGCCTTGCAGCTTAAGAATGGCTAGAAGAATTTCGACGCGATCATGAGAGCTGCGGTAGCATAATTGGTCAGTGCATTCGTCCCGATAGCGAAGGGTGCGGGTTCGAGTCCCGTCTGCTGCCTGGTCCGCGTGTAATTTTTACTAGTTATATATTTTCTTCAGTTATTAGTGTTATAAATAACTATGTGAAAAGTATTTTGACTCACCAATATTAAGGAATTCTTAAGACAATATCAGTATTAGTTATTATTTAACATATACATAGTAACTGAAATTGATTGTGTGAAAATATTTTCTGTACACAATTTGCTCTTTGAGGTGATTTCTTAGTGATAACATTGCAGACAAACTTACAAATAATTGTCCAAACCTCTTTATTATTTCTTTTCTTTTGAATAATTTAATGTATTCATTAACAGTACCTACAAGCATTTTTGTTTCCCTTTATTTCTTGTTCAATTTTTTTTTCTATTGACGCAAAGGCTAAATTATGTGTTACACTAAGACGAACGATAAGTAACGTACGAGCGGCCGCTCGGCAGGTATCCCCGGCTAAATTGGCGCTGCGTCGGCATCTATCGCAGGAGCGGCTAGCGGCGCCGGCGCCCGCGCGCACCATCGGCGACCTCGTCAACGGCGAGATCGAGCGCACGCTTGAGATATCCAACCAGAGCATCATCAACGCGACGGTCAACATGAGCGCGCGCTACCACGACCCGCCCCCGTCGCATCAACCGCTCGAAGGTAACAAAGAGACTGCGATTAAATTGTATACATATTACAATAGTTTGGTTATTTTCAGATTACCGACTTTCGATTTTGTAAGCGATGAATGTTCTACTTCAAGATATGAAAGCAATAAAAAGTATAAAATTCGTTTTTTAACTTCATTTTTTATTTATTCTTTTGATGTATCCTTATTGGTCACTTGTGTTTAATTACGCGCCTACATTGCAAGCGAATACAACTGGCCGCCATCCCATCGCCATCATAATGACAAATAGCAAATATGAATAGCCATGTGAAGTGCCAGCATAAGATGGAGGATAAGAACTCTTAATATTATTTCAGATGGAGCACAGTGGAATTCGAGCAGAATATTCGATGTATTTTATCTCTTTATAATATAATAATTAGCCAATACTTTGTACATGAACCGCGTGTCGGGTTTCCAGGTTTGGCGGCTTGCCTGCAAGCGCGCGTGTTGGCGTCCGAATACTGGCGCGGGCGCAGCGGCAGCGGTGGCGGTGGCGCGCCGGGCTCGGGCCCGCCTGGCGAGACTGACGAGCCGCGCCGTCGCACGCCGCCGCTCGACCCGCACTCCAACACATCCACGCCACTCGTCGACGAGCTGCCCGACGGCGCTCGACCCAATGGTATACATCTCATGCTTCTCCCACAACTGTATGACCTAGATTCAAGTGTCTTTAGTACTAAATACGCTAGAGCCGGACGAGCCGCACCGCCGCACTCCAACACATTGTCGGCGCTCGCCCAAGTGGTAATTGGAACTAAACATCTCATGCGTATCCACCACCCACACCACCTACCCTACTCGAACTGCTCTCTAGCACATCCTGGCCGCTTATCTCGACGTACTGCCCGAGGGCGCGCATCCTAATGGTAAGTGGAACTACACATCTCATCCATATCCCACACCTGCGCGACCTAGCTTCACCTGACTTTGGTACTAAACGCGCTAGAGCCGGACGAGCCGTACCGCCGCACTCCGCTGCTCGAACCGCACTCCAACACATTGTCGGCGCTCGCCTGTCAATGGTAATTGGAACTATACATCTCAAGCATATCCACACCACCTACCCTACTCGAGCTGCTCTCCAGCATATCCAGGCCGCTCGTCGACCAACTGCCCGAAGGCGCTTGCCCTAATGGTTAGCAGGTAACACCCGAGAACAAGAACTAAAGCATAATAATAATGGGAAGAAAACCCACCCTTATTTACTTGGCTTTGGCCCGTAAATGTAGCTAAAACCAAACTCAGAGCTGGGAAAAAAAACCTAAATAATAATAATATATTTGAGAGACTATATACAGTGGTGGTCACATAATTAAAGACACTCCCTAATTGACCACAAAGAACTTACTTATGGTACTAAAATTAGCTAAAATTGGTATTTAATCTAGTGTAATTGTTATTAAATTATACACGACGTTGTATTCTTACAATGTGGGACAAAATATAGTTGTGATCGTTAGTAGTTTAGACACTGCTCACTATGGGAACATAACACAAACTTTTTTAACGTACTTGTAGCTGGGCAGCTAATTAAAGACAGTAAAAGCTTGGTCATACAGAAAAATAGCAAACCACTTGAACTGTTCTAAGTACATGGTTATGAATGCTATAAAACATTTCAAGAAGTTCAACACAACTGAAAACATACCAAGAAAACCGAGACCAAGAAAAACTACTCTGCGGGAAGACTCTCTTTGTTGGCAAAAAAAGATCCGTTCAAGGGATCATAACTGATACGTTCGGAGTTGTTTGGTGCAGGAGGGTCAAAGGGTGTGTCTGCAAGAACAATTAGATGGAGACTATGTGAGGCAAACTTGTACGGAAGAGTGTCTCGGAAGGTGCTACTTTAGAAAAAGCAAAATGTTAAGGCAAGATTAGCATATGCTAAAATATATATATATACACTGGACTGAACGAGAATGGAAACATGTGCTTTTTTCTGATGAAACAAAAATTAATATGATTAATTCTGACGGAAAACAATATTTTAGACGCCCCCCGAACAAAGACATGGATCCAAAGTATACCAAGAAAGTACTTGGTGTTGGACCTGTCAGGAAAATAGAAGGCAACATGGATAAAATATATCAGTCCAAGAATATTTTAGAACAAGCCATGCTGCCCTATGCCTAGGAGATGAGTCTGTCCTAACTTCCTTAATATTGAGTTAATATTTAGTCACTGTATGTTTTTCTTGTATTTGAAATAAAGCGAACTTCTCAATAAATAAATAAAGGTATATTTTCAACTTCGTTTCATTAATTTTGAATATAATCTTAGAGGAGTTGAAGTTGGACACCCTTGGCCAAAGAAGTGCTCCGCCACTCGTGTGTTCGGGTTTTATATTGATACTAGCGGACCCGACAGACGTTGTCCTGTCTACACGTCTTTGTGAATCTAAACCATTCTCAGATCCCCTTGAACACACACAAAAAATTTTCATCCAAATCGGTCCAGTCGTTTAAGAGAAGTTCAGTGACATACACACTCACAGAAGAATTATATATATAAAGATACAGCGCTATCCCTCCCGTTCCGGTGATAACTGCTTCCAATGGTGACAGATTGTTGCCAGATGAAGCACGCCTTTGTTCGTGCGTTGTTACGTCCGGTCGCTAGATGGAGCTATTATGAACAGTCACACTTATTATAAATAACACTATTTGTATTTATATTGTATGACACAACAATCAAAATGCAGGTATACAATTAATGTATATTTAATCATTATGTAATGAAAGGTGACTTCATGAATCATCTCTGAAGTCATTTTTCAATTTGACGACTCTGTAAATAATAAAACAGGGAGAAAAAAAAACAGCCCTTGCTGAGCTTCTTGCCGGTTCTTCTCAGTACAAGGTCTCCCGCCGTAGATTTACGAACCGATGGCGTAGCTTCTAGACATTCATGAGTGCTTGTAACAGCCTAAACAGAATAAATGATTGATTATGATTATGCCGAGCAAAATTTACCGGTCATTTGGACTTTCCAACAGGATAATGATCCGAAACATACTGCAAAAGTAATAAAAGACTTTTTAAGGAATCAGTCTGTGACAGTTTTGGATTGGCCCCCGTACAGTCCTGATTTAAACCCAATAGAAAATTGTGGTACCAGGTAAAGAAGACAGTGGCGACAAAACGGACATCAAACATCGATCAACTTTACACAGCTTTTAGAGAAGCTTGGCAGCAAATTCCGGTGGAAGCTTGTAAAAAATTGATGGCTTCCATGCCCAAGAGATGTCGTGCTGTCATTTCTGCCAAAGGACATGCGATCAAATATTGATACGTACCGCATAGTTTAATAAATGTGTTAGGAATATTGTGTAATAAAATAAAGATAATTTAAATTAAAATAATATTTTTTTTAATTTCTTCTAAGCAAATCGAGTGTCTTTAATTAGCTGGCCAGGTATAAATATGTTAAAAAAAATTGTGTTCCGTTCCCATAGTGAGCAGTGTCTAAACTACTAATGAATACAACTATTTTTTGTCCCACATTGTAAGAATATAACGTCGTGTATGGTTTAATAACAATTAAACTGGATTAAATACCAATTTTAGCTAATGTTAGTACCATAAGTAAGTTTTTGGTGGTAAATTAGGGGGTGTCTTTAATTATGTGACCACCACATATATACATATAATAATTTACTATCTCATATTACAATATCATACAACAATTTATGCAAACCTATTGTTAAAGTAGCATTTTGCAGCAGTTCCTGTTGTAGTTCATTTTGTTTGTTTTATGGTTATGATTTTCCTCAAGTAATGAGGAGCTCGATGGAGCCGGTGGTTACCTTGTTCGTTCTGCGACAGCCTGTCATTGGAGGAGTGACTAAAATTATTATCTTCGTGTTCATCCGTGCTTCAGAAGACACGCAAAGCTGTTGGTTCCAACTGTATTTGCAGTCATTAACACCCACCAATCCTCACTGAGCCCGTTTGCGTGGTGGGTTATAGCAAAATCTTCCTATTCCACATATAGGGAGGGCCTGTGCCCCAGCAGTGGGGACATTTAATATGTTGTTGATGATTTCCTAAGCTGGTATCCCACATCAATAACAGAAGATTTCGAAACATACATGGGTTATGCAACGGTTACAGAAGGCGAAGGCGGCGAGGAAGTCGACGAGAGCAAATGGCAGGACAGGATAGCGTTTCGGTTCGATCAAATAATATCGTTCGCGTCGACTGCCATGGAGGACAAGCGGCGCCGGTCGGACGAGGCGTGCAACACTTCCCCGGACTCTGGAATCGGGCACGGCGAGGCGGGAAGACGCAACGGACCCGCGGAGAGCGCCGGAGGAAGTAGTAGTGGAAGTAGCGGGGGGGTGGTATGCGCTAACGCAGGCACTAGTGCGATGGCGGGGCCGGGGCCGGGGTCGGGGTCGACGGCGGGATCGGAGACGCGGTCGCCGTCGCCGCTGCCGGCGCACCACTTCAAGAAGCGCTTCTTCCGGCGCGAGCGGTGGGGCGCGTGGAGCGGCGCCCCGCCCCCCGCCGCGGTGGACTGGGAGCGGCCGGCGATGTGACGCCCGCGCATCTAGCGCTGCGACGTGTGCCGCTTCGCGCACCAGCGCTGCCCGTAGCCTCACACTAGCCTAATTATTGGGAACACTGCCGACGCGACGCGACGCGACAGAACGAACTCTCGTTCGTGTTCTATGTAAATAGGGACGGGCCTCGCGGTCTCGAGGCGCGGCCGGCCGCCGTTCTCGGACCGCCCTTTCGGATGTTGACTGTGTCGTGTTTTGTTATTTTTTTTTTCGGATATATAATGTAATTATGTATATTATTGAGTTTATTTTACGTTTAAGAATGTAATTATTTAACACTAGGTTTATGTCGCCGTGCTGTCCGGCGCTCCGAAAGAGCTCCCCGCGCCGTGGCGGTTTGTATTTCATGTGTTCATTTAGGTCATAGAGTTTGAAATACATGTTTCGGTGATGATACAGTGGATATCGTTCTTACGCCAGTCGTTTGATGAATGTTTGTTGTTTTATGTGTTTTACGTTCTCGATATTTCGGAAGCTCAGTCTGAATAATGTTAATCATTTCTTTGGGGGATCTTTGAATTATTATAGCTTTGTATCTATAGTGAATTTGTTATCTACGTGATCTTGTATGATGAATGATAAATGCGTAATTGATCGAAGAGCGGCTAATGCAACATTTTTGTTGTCTTGCTCGAGATGTTGTTACTGCCAAAATATTTTTATTTCAATTTTTGAAAAAAGACGCGCATATAATTTTAAATAATTAGAGTAAATAAATTAGTCTTTCCACCGACCACGTTAGGAAGACGAGATTTTTTATGAAGCAAGTAAAATAAACGCAAATATAAGGTTAGTTGGTTCAGATATATGACTCTTGTAGCAGTGTAATGTTCCTGACATTGCACCTTGCACTAACGTAACCTTTTTGTGTCTAATTCATAGGCATTGTCCAATGCATATTTCACAGCTGGCTGTGCTTTTATGGAGTTAGTGTGAAATTCCTCTTATGTCGGCACTTCACATGGCTATTCGTGTTTGCTGTTTGTCATTTGGACAGCATGTTGTCCTTATCACATTTTATAAGGAGTGCAAGGGAGAGACAGTAGTCCAGTTTACAAATAGCAAATACGAATAGCCATGTGAAATGCTTTTATTATGTTGAAGGACCGATTGTCTGTACGTGTGCTACTTGAACACTGTTTGCTCTGAGGAAATTACCTACAATGATCTTTTCTAACCACAGAAGGAACATCAATCTGGTCCCCAAGTGTAAAATTCTCAACACAGTTGAAACTGAATCTATATTATCATTACTTCAAATTCTCTGCTTTGGCATTGTCTAATTATATAATAGGCTTTAGGAGAGCGAGAAAACAATATTGTTGAGCAAATGGATTAAAACTATATACTACTTACAATTATATTTTTAATAACAACATGCACTTTTGCTAGATGGTTCATCAGCACATATTTATATCTATTCATATAAAATAAAAACTTCTTCATAAAAAATCTAGTCATATAACGAGCATGTAGGTAAATCATACGTAAACCAAATCATTGTATCACCATTCTTGTTTATTTCTATTTTACTTGATGAAAGTATTAGACCTTTTTTATATTCCAAATAAATAATTTGGAATATAAAAAAAGGTCTAAAAGTATTTTAATACCCTTCTGTAAAAGGTAAATAGATAAGATGTAGTATATATTATCAGGATAAAGATATTACATGAGCATCAATTTCTATTTTCAATGGAAGGGTTTAAAATTGAAGTCATCTTTGTCAACTTTTAAATCAGTCATATAAAGGTATGATTCCATTATTTTACATTTTTCATAGGTATCGAAAAGTTTCGCATCCATTGGTATTGTCATTTCCCACTTTTTAGTAAAATATAGTAATTACTTACGTTTTATTGGTTTTCTAACATTTTCCATGTCTAATGTAATATTATTTATAAAATCATCATCGGAAACGAATAATTTAGTAATTTTACGCTTAAAACAGGAGGCTTTGTATGAGTAACAAAATATTTTAATATAAAATAGACCGTTTGACATGCTTCGATATTTATTTGCTAAATATAAATAAAGTTTTCGTATTGTATGTTTTAGACGTCCCTTACTTTATCAGTCACTGTATTGCATTATATGTCTTGCAATCAGATGGATTCAATAATATCTACCTATACCTACCTACGTTTATGTCAATGAATTAGACTTAAAAATATTGTAACATAGTGACTCACACAGAAAAAAATTAATTCGTTGTTATATTTAACTTAACAAAAAAACGTATGTATAATGTGATAAATTTAGATACTTACCTAGTGTATAAATTAATACAAATATCAGTAATTAAAAGTAAGGAGAGTTTAAAACTCAATAACTTTTTTTATATTTTTCAGATGAATATCCGTGGTACATTTTTGGACATGAGATAAATCGCAGCAATTTTTTACTGCTAGGAGAGGTCGGTCTGATAATGACTGAATTATAATAACACTGAACCAATGAGAATCATAGTTGCGATTGTGAATGCGCATATTTAAACTTAGTGTAAACTACTTTCGCTCACGAAGATTATCCGCCTTTTAGGTATAAGATTTACCAAAAATAAGAAATTCTTTATGAGTTTTCTAAGATAGTTATTAAATTCAACGTACTTATTATTATGACATGAAGCAATATACTGTACTCCCAATGTAGGATTTCTTTTAATAACATGTATTGACATTTTAACCTTGGTGCTTTCTTACACTTCTGAATTTTCAAGGAGAAGTTTATGAATCTGAAAACTAATATGAATCGACAATGTTTCAAAAATCGAAATCGGTGACTTTTTTACCTTTAAATGCACTGTATTTATTATGCGTATCACAGTTGTTTATTATATTTTTATTTAAACATTTAACTGATAAATATATTAATAAATATACTAGAAAAAGAATCAGCTTGTCAGGAAACAATGTTAAATGTCTCTTTAACATTTATGTTGGTTTGATTGTAAAAAATGGCGCTGCATCGCTGGCTAAGAAATATTTTAAAGATTCGACTTATATCGGAACCAGAATTAGTGCATTCGCCCGGATAATGAACTATGCTAGTTCCAATCTTAATCAATATTTTTCTAGTAAAAATTGTATTTATGCACGTTGTAAATAAATCGGTAAATATCCGCAACAAAGCATGCTCTGGAGCATTTTAGCTTACAAAGTATTATTTTATTCAATTTGGGGCCTTATTATGAAAGTACATTTTACAATCGTTGTTGTGATATTATTGTATGGTATTAGTTTGTCATTTATTACAGTATCAAACAACGATTGTTAAATTCAAATAAACAAGTCATATTAAAATGGTCATCATAATTACACCCGGCTATACAATACAATTATAATAAAATAAATGAGTTTTCTACATATACACACTCATGCCAATATTTCACTGATGTGGGATTTTTATTTGTAATAGAATTTAGTATTTGGGCTAGATATTTCGTTAAATGCATTTTAGAACATATTTTTGAAGAAAGAATAATTATAGGATAAGACATGAATTTTATCGGGTTAGGACGATTGAATATAATACATGATAAATACATAAATAGTAGTTCGGATTTTGCGATAACAACGTAATCTTCATTGAGATGAAGTATTAACTTGTAAACCTCGTAAAATTTTAATAATAATAGTTATTAATACATTAACACAATTCTATTAATTTTGTAAATCCTTTGATTTTATTGAATGCACTGTTATTGTAGATAAGTACACGAGATGTTAATGTGATTGTGAAATAGTGTACTACTAAATTAAAGCAATGGTATCACTCGAGATCGATTGCTGTTGCGCTCGTAAGGATGACATTGGTAAGATTTTAATGTTTTTAATACATTAACGATTCTAAGAATATATTATAAATATACATTAATTAACAAAGATGAGTGAATCTATAATTGTCTGTACATTATTACAGTTTCAAACACCGGATCGTTTATGTATTTCAAATATTGGAGAGCACTGGTTTGATTGTGCCTGAAAAAATTCATCAATGCCGCTCCAAACCTCAAAATTGTAAATGTATTTGTATGATAAATTGTTAAGTAACTAAACATAACAGAAGATACTGATGTATCGTAGTGTAATAAATAGTGTAACCAATTACGGCATGTAATTTGCACTGCGGCCAGATTTACTCAAAGAGTGTTAACATTATTCAGTATCGATTTTTATGGGGGGAAAGAGCTACACGTGTGACACTATAGTGTCTAAAATAGTACAAATGAGAAGACTTATTGTCATATAAGCCTCGGACTATTCAACATTGCAAATGCTAGGTTTGAGATGTATCCCTGTGTACTAGTTTTATTTTGTACTAAAAGTTAAAAATAAATGAGTAATTATATATTCTTTATTTTCATTTTATTCATATTACAGGTCCATCTAATATTTATAGGTTTTTTGGATGACTAGTGATCCGCCCTCGCTTCACTTCAGAAGACTATAATTGTTGTTGTTGGGCATATATTAAATATGTCGTAGGATGATTTGATAAATCGTGTTTCCGCGAAAATTCTAGGGATATTGCGAAAACGCGGCGGGTACAGCGCGGCCGAAGAAGCGCCAGAAAAAAATTGTTAACAATAAAATTAAGGAATGTCATCTCCACGTAAAATTTTCATCGTTTTAGCAATATCCCTAGAATTTTCCCCGAAAATTGATTTATCATATTATCCTACGACTCTACGACACATAAAACTTTCCTACTGAATCACTGCTCGGTAACTGTTGCCGGAAACTGCATTAAAATCCGTTACATGTTTAGATTCAAACTAGTGGCCGCGCTAGGCGTCGGCGACGTCGGCCACCGCCGACGGCCTAGCGCCTGAGGGGGCCTCGCAAAAATTTTTTACAAGTTACCTATTTATTTTCGTTTCTCCTGGAGCTCTATTTTTGAATCACTCGCCTTGCGTCGAACGCTCTATTTCTACTAATTTTCATTCGACATAATTAAATCCGTATTTTTGATCGCTCGAGTGCAACGAATGGGTGAGACTACTCGTTGCATGGCGAATGGTGGAGGCGAATGATAGAATAATTGTCAAATATGGTCAGACGTCACGTTAGTGTCAAACTTATACTTATTAAGATTTTTTGTGTGATTGGATTTAGCCACTGAGTAAAAAAAACTATTACAAACTGTTTTGCAATGAATGTTGTGACTTTTGAATTTTTCAAAAGCCGGCTTTACTTTACTTTTCTATTCAGTTTGCTATTAGACGACGATAATCTATCTTTGTCATGCTTTATATGAAACGACAAGGGCAGACTGGCGTCAAGTTTCTTTTTCTTTTATTATGGCATGACGGCTAATGCACGTCAAGTTTACAAACGGCAATCACGAACAGCTAAGTGAAGTGCCGGTAATATAAACAACAAAATACAATTGTATTGTACAGCCATGTACTAAGAATTTTTCGTTCCGTTTTCATTGCGGTAACTACCTGTTTTTATTTAGTCTGCGTGAAATGAATAAAATTTTATATTTCGTATTAAACTGGTAACATCTGTGACGAACGATTCAAAAATACGGAAAATCAGTATCATGCGACTTGAAAGTTGAAGGTGACCTAAGTCGCATTCGACGATACTATGTCAGACGAGTGATTCAAAAATAGAGCTCCTGGCCTGACTTAGGTAGCCGACGAAAAAGCTAAGCAGATGATAATGACTTTTATTATTTTCGAACACGTGCGTGATGGAAGCGAGTAGTACTTTACGGGTATTCAGAATCGTTTGCCTGGCAACACTATTTTTGTAATTAAATTTCTATGTTTGTTATTATTTTTTGTCATCATTTGATTATCAACAATAAAACTCGTCTACTAATACGTTATTTTATAATTTGGCTCACTTAATTTAACGGTTTTTTACTGCGAATTAAAATTGGCCTCGCGAACTTGATGTCGCCGACGTCCACATGTGGTCTAGCGCCGCCACTGATTAAAACAAAAAGGGAAGATACGGTACGCTCATACTAGTATCAAATAAAATATGTACAAGTACATAAGCTGCCGGTCTGCGCTCCTCATAAATGTCCCTGTGGCAGTGATGTCGACAAGCTAGGACATCACTGTCATGCATAAAAAGTGCAGGCCGCTTCTCGAGACATGCCGCACTTAACGGTATCATACGCCCGGTCCCTTGCCACCGTCAATGTGCCAAGTCTACTTGAGCCGACTGGTATTGCAAGAGACCGGACGGTATGAGTTTGATTCCATGGAAGATTGGCCGGGTACTGGTATGGGATGCAACCTGTTCAGACACGCTGGCCCCTTCCCATCTACATGGAACCAACAAAGAGCTGGTGCGGCTTGTGAAGCGGCTGAAAAAGCAAAAGCATGCAAATACAGGGGTTCCTGGTCCTTTGCCCCGAATATGATTTTGTCCCATTCCGTGTCGAGACCCTCTGTCCGTGGGGTCCTAGCGCTCTAAGTATTTTAAGGAAATATCAAAAAGGTTAGTCGACATCACTGGAGACCGAAAAGCTGGCAGCTACCTCGGACAGAATTAGTTTAGCTATTCAAAGGGGGAACGCTGCCAGTATCTTCGGAACCTTGCCTAAAGGGACTCCTTTTAATAATATATTTTAGTTATTATATTATATTTTTTAAGGTTTTTTGTTAAGGGTTGACTGTTCCTGTATATCTCTCATCATCATCATCATCATCAGCCTATTAATGTCCCCACTGCTGGGGCACAGGCCTTCCCTATGGATGGAATAGGGAGATTGGGCCATGACCCACCACGCGGGCCCAGTGCGGATTGGTGGGTGCTAACGACTGCAAATGCAGCCGGGACCAACGGCTTAACGTGCCTTCCGAAGCACGGAGGAGCTCGAGATAGTAAATTTTTGGTCACCCATCCAATGACCGACCACTGCGAAAGTTGCTTAACTTCAACGATCGCAGCCGAACGCGCTAGCCACCTGCGCCATCGAGCTCCTCTAATATAATATCTCTCAATAATGCTTAATAAATATATTTTTAAGTAAACAACATAATCAACACACATACACACACTACTGTAAAAAAACATTCAATCGAGCGAGCGAGACGGAACTGTACGCTTCAACGCAGCGTGAGCGAAATGGCGAGTCTGCACGTCTAAGCTGTATTGTTGTGCTTTTCTTGATAACTAAATGGTGATTACGTTCACGACAACCCGTGACTTATGAGAAAAAAATGTTTTTATGAATGAAAAGTGTTGCCGAGGCATTTGTTATTTGATTTTCAACTATTTGTGTTCTTTAAAGAAGCATCGAAGGTATTGTTTTATCTTTATAACACAGAATATACGCAATATATGTGTTATATTGAGTGCACCTGCAACGCGTTTGAATGTCCAATTGTGACTAAAGCGAATTGTGGTCATGCACCACAAGTCGCACCCACCACAACCGCGAGTGCCGTATCTTCCCTTATTGTCATAATCTAAGGTTACATAGTTTAAAAGATCTACTCGTACAGATAGCGGAAGCGACTTGTTTTAATTATAACTTTCGGTATATTTTCTACGAAATTCCATTCTGCATTCCACACTAAGCACCACCGTTAGGGCGCTTGTTAACGATACAATTCTAGTGCTAAAATCCAATCACAATTCTTGTCTTCACCTCTAATAGTAATGAAAAATTATCTCAAAGAACCCTTTATTGTAGCTGCAGAGTTGTTATTTTTCAAAAGATTTTTCGGGCTATCGCAAACAACGCGCTGTCAGTGGGCGTAGATCGCGCCCTGTAATTTGTTTTTGCGATTTACTTGCAATTTCATATTTTAGGGTCTTTATTGTCTGTATAGGATCGTTCCGTTTTCATTTCTGTTCGAATCTGTACTGATTCTTTACAGAGTACATGAAGTTAAATGCGGAGGCGGCGTAAGGCGTGGGCCACCGCCCACGGTCTCGCGGTGCAAAGAGCACTAAAAAAGTACAAAAAGCTCGCACCTCAGTTCAAAATAAATTTACAAATGTGTGGAAAATCCTAAAGAACGCGTTGCAAGTTTTTTTTTATAATAAAGCGTGTCTCAATAGGACCTCCCTTTATATTTAAAACTAAAAACACGTATTTTTTAAGAAAGTTGATATTTTGATTGGATTATAAAAAGGGTCTGAAGTTGAGACTTTGTTTTAACAAAGTATCAAATTGGGGCCGACTTACTTAGTCCTTTTTAATCCTACAATAGCACAGGTCAAAAATATAATTTATCGTTTTGAGAACACTTCCCTTACTGCCTCAGTTAGTATTGGAATTCTCAGCGTTGACATATCGAGCGAGGTCCAGTTTTGGGAACATTTAGAGGCAAGGCCAAATTGGTCTAAGAAGCTCGGTGTGCTCAATAGATCGAGAAGGTATTTCACGCCGGCCCACCGTCTGCAACTTTATAAGGCACAGGTCTGGGGCCTCCGCACCACTTGTTACTGCACGGCCGAGGCAGTCGGATCTTTCTCTGCTTTGTATGTGTGTCGCTTGTCTCCTTGCTAAGTACCAAATCGATTTCGACATCAGCCTGTATAACGTTGAGCTAATAGTTACTGTGCTGACAATCTTCGCTATTATACTCATGTGCGCCTTCTAATATTACTTAGATAGTAATTGTTTTTAAATATGGGAAAATATTGTGGATACAATAAACCATGAGTGCAGTGAACTGTGTTACACTCATTTAACACCCGAGAAACTCACGCATATTATTCCTATACTGTTATCATCTTTGGGCGGGGGCACCCTAGTACCAGCTTCTACCTTTGGATCGCATCCAGCTCCGAGCGGCTCGAATAGTCTACGACCAGAACCTTTCCGATCAGCTTGATCCTTTGCTAAAGCTAAAGCGACCAACTTCATTATGTTAAAAATTTGTGTTACAGTGATGCGCGCGCATCTTAAAATTTCACTCTCATCATTTTTTCATAACGCGCCTAAAGAAGTATAACTTCAAAAAATAGTGCCCCTTTAATTTAAGAAATAAATACCATTTTTACTGTGTACGCTACCATGACGTCAAGCTAGCGTACCCATGGCCGACCCCAAGAACGGGATATATTTAAGCAACAAAATTGACACACAATAATATTTCGCAAATAGTGCCCTGGCTTTACAAAATTTTTTTAAACGCATTTTTCTTGTTTTGTATGCATTTTAAAAACTTTTTTTTGACCATAATTGTAGAGAACGTTAAGTGCTACAATTTATGTCATTGTTGCAATCTCGTACAACAAAAAATGCGCATTGTAGGTGGCGCTAAAGTGTCAAAAAAAGTGTTTTTTCACTTTTTCACCCTGAAAATATCATTTTAGTGGAAAACTTTAAATGGCAAAGTTGTTTCGTACATAATTACCTACCAACAACTTTTGTAAAAACAATTTTTTTGTATTCCTTACCGTTTTCAAGTTATATATTGCGCAGGTATGAAAAATCCAATAGAGCGGTTTTGGGCAGTTCAAGTACACATTTGCAGTGCACATTTCAATGTACGTTTTACTATTTTTTATTTTTTTTCATGATTGAAAAACAAAAAAAAATAAAAAAAAATAGTTTTATTTTTATTTTTTTTCATGATTGAAAAAACAAATAGTAAAAACGTACATTGAAATGTGCACTGCAAATGTTCTAGAGACTTTAGCGCCACCTACAATGTGCAGTTTTTGTTGTACGAGATTGCAACAATGACATAAATTGTAGCACTCAACGCCCTCTACAATAATGGTCGAAAAAAAAGTTTCTAAAATGCATACAAAACAAGAAAAATGCGTTTAAAAAAATTTTTGACGGTTTTTTTGAGTTTTTCAAAAAACGCCTACGAGTTGAACATGCCCATCGCCAAGGTGGGTAAGCCACGTCATTTGGCAACAGAAAAAACAAGACTTACCCTTTAGGTTTTTTTTTCACTGAAACGATATTTTTTTCGACAGATTGACTGTACTAATAATGCATAACGGTGAGTTGAGTGTTTCAACTACAGCAACGCTTTGCACAATCGAGCACTCTCAAAAGTAATGCTTTCGTATGATGCGTGCAATCGTACCAACTCAGAGACAGAAAATTAACAAGCGTTTTTTCTTTAAGTTTGCATTGATCGAAATGTTTTATTTATATGTTATCGTTAGTAATATTATTTATTGTTGAAAAATTATTAAAACTTTCGTTTCATTAAAGTTTTTTTTAATAATCAAATTTAATTTAAACTGTGTTTAAAATTAAATATAAATATGGATGAAGGTACAAACATTGACTTTTTTTTTCAATACTGAACTTAGCGCACTCTGATGGCGCATTTGAAAACTAATTCACGTTCCAATTAAGCATCAGCATAATTCGGCATTGTGCGCCACTGAGTCGCATTATGCCACCTGAGTTATGAACTATCGAGATATCTCTACAAATGAAAAACCCATAGTTTTTTCATACTTAAAATATTTTTTTATATACTTTAAAGTAGCGCCGCGCCTGTAACAATAATTTCCTGTCATGCGGCAGGCCAACGAGTGACGTCACTTCGCCTAGTCGACGCGGCGCGGCGCTTATACACTTAGAATGTATAAATTCATTGGCGTGCTGTTATTTGCGCCGCCGCGCCCGTGTTGTGTTTTGTTTATTATAATAATGGCTGAGGCTAAAAAATATGCCTACAAATATTCTATTGTCCCTATGTGTCAAAGCACGTCAGTTAAAACGCCTAATAACATTTGATAGGGAATCGCGTTGTGAGTTCTTAGTCTTAATTCCTTTTTCAATCGCGCTCTTCAACGAGAAGATATAAGGGCGATGGTAGCGACTTAGCGACCATGTAGCGACCGTCAAGTGACGGTGACACTAAATGCTTTTAAATTTTAAAAGCTGTATGTCCACCGCAAGCCGAAGCCCGCCTCAGCAGGGGGAGTAGGTATAAATAAATAAATATTTCCAACACACACCAATTAGCCTAGCCTCAAAGTAAGCAATATAAGGCTTGTGTTATGGGATACTAGGGTGACGGATAGAATACATATAAGTATAGTACATAAATATATATATTTAAAGAAATACCTATTAAATATCCATGACTGGAGTACAAATGCTCGTATTCATCACACAAACATCTGCCCCCACCCCACCGAGTTCGAACCCGGGGCCTCTCCACCGGCGACACCATGAAACCCGGCGTGTACGCCGGGTTTGTAAACCACTCGGCCACGGAGGTCGTCGGTATGTTGAAGCGGTGCTGCAGCAGGTTTCCTATATTATATAATTATTTAGCCGAATTTAGAGGTGTGGGGCAACGAAGGAGCAGTGGTCTCTACATCTGGACCGAACCACTTACGATTGGTACTCCCATCCCCCAGGTTTGGTGAGTCGTTGAAATTAGATTTTCTTCTCTGTTTTTTTCTCTGCTGTGGGGCCACAGCCCCACCTGCCCTGACTTAAATCTGGCCCTAATTATATAGTTTCCTCCAACCATAGATGAATAATTGGTCTTGCATGCGAGGGGTGACCAAGGGAGATCTTAAGAAAAGCGATGCAGACATAAACCTTAGAAAGATATTCCTACCTAAGTCCATGGTTGGAATCCGAATACCCTTGGCATTCCCAGAACAGACTGATTTGACAGTTGACACTGATACAGTCAAGAGTTTTTGGCGGGATTGGCGTGAGGTTGACGTCCTATTTTAATAGGGAAGATGCAATATTTTTATTTTTGTTTTCATTTTAAAGAATTCCATGTAGAATAAACCACAGATATATTAAAAAATTAAAACATTGTGATTTATCGGAAAAAATGCGGTTTTAAATTGACAATTTAAATTTTCGCGCGAAAACGAACCTATGGTTGCGATGACGTCACTCCTGTCTGTCAATGGTCGTAATTGTTCGTTGCTGGGTTAAAATTTTCATACTTTTGCATATTTTTTCGACTTTTGAAATATTTTTTTGAAAAATTTAAAATGGACTATCCATCAACATCATGCGATCATAACAATACCACTAATATTCCGAAAAAAGCCGTGTTGACTCATGTTTTGTGCCAATCTACTTCAACAAAGTTCCCAAATAAATTGTTTTTGACTGGAACTTCTGACCCAAAACTGAAAAAAAAGTGGTTTCAAGCTGCGAAGAGTAATGACAATTATTCTCCAAAGACCATTATTCGATGCTGAGAAGATCACTTTGACGTAAATTGGCGAATATACTTGTTATATGCTTAATTAATCTGCTTGTACGTAAAAACGCATTAGTAACCTACCTAATACTTACAAAACCTGTCTATAACATATTTTTAGTTTTAAAGAATGACGTCGAAAATTAGATAAAGTTTAAAATGTGTGGCACAATCTTCACATTGGTAGGACTGAACCAAACTTTTCGTTTCATTTAAAATAACTGTAACACGATAACCTTCTTTACGTAGTTTATGCTCCGGAGAACTCGACCTTTTACTGTACATAATTCTCCATGTCTTTTAATTTGAACATAGCCGATTGCATTGTTGCCGTAAGATTTGTAGAAGCCGCTGAATAAAATACGAAGTTTAACAACTACGATTTTTACATACCGTAGTAATATAGTCCGTTTCATTTCTACACTTAAAAACTCTGCACTTTGGACAAAAAAAGTTATAACCATGTCAACGCTAAGTCTTGGTAAATTCCTGGAGTCTGCTTTGATAAACGCAACTTCCATTTTTATTAAATGTAAAAAAACGCAATAAATATTCCCATAAAATAATATTTACTTTAACAACCATAACCTCAAAGAAGTTGTCATTACAGGAGTGACGTCACTAAACGCTGATTGGTGTTTGAAAATACGTTCCGTTTCAAGTATTTTTAATTCGTAATAATTGTTAAAAAACAACATTATGTAAAATAAAAACGTTGCAGTGGCATTCCTTTTATATTTTTTAACATTTTAATCATAAAATTTTCTTAAATATTATATATGCATTTTCCCTATTATTCTTCACGAGTCTGGCAAAATCCACAAAAGTGCACCGCCAATCGCCATCGTCTTCACAACTGAAGAATTAGTGGAATTTTTAAAATATATGCTATTCCTGTCAAGTAGACGTGAGAACTTTATTGTGGTGTAGACTACCTCACAGAAGCTCAACAAGAAAGCTGACTCGATAAATTTCGTGCCAAACACTCCAAGAAAACTTAGAATGTGTCACATCCATAATCTAATGTAAAAAAAAAACAAAAATCTGAGCATTAGGCTGTATGGACATTGTTCCCTTTGCCTTACCTAAAAAGGAAGAACGTTAAAAAAATACTGCCAAAAAATAAATGGGGACTAATTCTGACATGATACAAAATTACATTTGGCAGTTGTGCTTCCTTGTCATGCTTTATACAGAATGACAAAGAGAGACTATTGGCAAATTTGTTTTAGTTGACCGTTGATTGAATTATGCTCGAGCTAAACAGCACATACATAAACAGTTCGAGTAGGTGTAGGTGTTTCTGATTATTACTACATTTCGTACTTTTAGGAATTAATGAATTGTTTTTTACTGGGTTAGTTAATAATAACACCTTACAAATGAAATGTAATATAAGAGAACTTGCTCACCTGAGCGACCAGCCCTGCACCATAGAAGGAAGGCTAAACTACAAAAAAATTACGAATGGAGGTTATCGTAATCAAACAGGTAAATTTAGTTTTTAGTGGAATAATGACTATTATCCGCTACAAAGTATGTTTTTACAGCGTTACACTTACACAGTAGAAAAGACATTAAAACAGTCTATTAAAAATTTCTGTAGATTTCAGAATCTAGCAAGCAATGACTTAGTTTTTGTAATGGGTATGTTGAAATTTAAGTGAAAGACTTTTTTTTTGTAAGGGAAATTCGTAAAGTTCTTGTAAGCCAAAATATTAAAGCCAGGGCTAAATACTTTAATTTCATATTCACCACCAAAACAAGTATTTTGTTCATCCAGGAAATTGTGAAAAATATGTGTTTAGAACATTACCATTTATGTATATAATATATATGAATATGTTAAGTACTTACTTTTTTGATTTATTGTCTTCTTCTTTTAATTTAAGCCTCTTTTTGTTTTAGTATTCAAAGAAAGATGGTTTCGTCTTATAAATAATTATTTATTTTATTTCAAAATTAGTGAAATGGGTAAGTTTGATACTAAAACTCCTGCTGGTTTGTTTGTATTGGAAAATTCCTCTATACAAATGGAACATGGACAGAGTATACCTTTTTCATTTTCAGTATCATTCATGTAAGTTGATGTAATTACTTATTTTTAAGATCATTTGATAAGTATTGTTATTAAATGTTCATATTCATTAATTTATAGAGATGAACCTGAGAAACGACACCTCTTTGCTGCACGAGCTGAGGATAATGTAATACAGTGGGTAATCAAGCTTAGAGAAAGTTCATATGAGTATTTACGCAATCAATTGCATACACTACAGTCTAAAATATTTTCCATCACAGGAAAGGTAAGCTTTAATTATGTTTTTATTATTGTACCAGCTGTGCTACTTATTTTGTTTGTTTGAATGTGGGTGTCAAAAAAAGCAGCCTTTGCAGGAATGCATCTTCAGGATAATGGATGGATATTCTGACGAAACTGATCATTCCTGCAAAGGCTGCTGAACATCAATAAATAAATAAGATCAGTGCATCTAATCCATTGAAACTTGTTTTATTTAATGAGTGCTGCACATGAAAATCAAAGGAACAAATATCTACTATGTCTCTCAAGTAACAAAAAAAAATTTTTCTGACATCCACATTCAATCAAAATGCGTTGTGAGAATAATGGTTGGATATTCTGACAATGCATTTCTGCAAAGACTGAAATGTTAAGAAATAAATAAAATCTTTGCATATAATATGTTGAAACTTGTATTTGACTTAGTAAATGTTACAATAACAGACAGTAGGAGTGTTCTTACTCTATGGCTTAGATGGCCATGGCCTGGGGGGGCTATGATATGAGGCAGAAGTCATATAAAGGCATCTATTACTGACCTATATTTTGATTTGATTTAGTAGTTCTAAGGTGGAGGGGAAGGCTAGCTATGGGTGCAAATTGTCAATTGCTGGGGTTGCCAGATTTTAAAATAAACCCGTGATAGACAACATAGAGCTGGTGAAGATCCTCACTGATAAATCAATTTGTCAATCTGGGAAATCTCATACATTGACTTGTGAACACTTCATGATTCTCTTTAATATAAGATTTTTCTCTGAACACTATTTAAAAAAAATAAAGATTTGTTATTTGTTTCTACTAGGATCCTCTGCTGATGGTGCCTCGAAATGAAGGTGCATGTTTATGGGCACCAGCAATACCATTTTCCACAACACCTGCATGTTCTGTGAATACATTGACAAGTTCATTTAGTTGTCACCTGCATACAAATAATGCTTTTACTCTTGAAAGAAGTAAATCAGATGTACAAACCCATCAACATCTACGGTCTGAATACAACAAAAAAACTACCTTTTATACAGATGATGTGAAATTAACTAATGAAGTAAAAGTAGTACGACCTTCTAATAAGTTGGAAAGGAGCAAAACTGCTGCATTGTTTTCTGGTAGCACAAATCCTGTAGATGTATCTATATTTGATAATAGACCAGCTTTCTCAAGAGCAGCACCAAGCCCTCCTGTAAGAGTAAAACTCTCACCCTCAAGTAGGCGAACAGAAGTTAACAATGAAGTGAGAACATTTACTGAGCAAGGGAAAAGCATTGGTGCAACAGGTATATTAGATGTAGTTCCAATACCACCTAGAAGGAAAGTTTCACCAAAAACTTCAGGAGATGTCCCTAGCAGTTCAAATATATACAATTCAAGTCAATCCAATGATGATCTAATCAAATTTTAATTGTACACATACAATGTTTAGTGACCATATATCCCACCAAGTTAATGATATTAGATGTTACCCTGACAAGTTTGTTACTTACTTATTATATTTAAAATAGATCTGCTTTACACAATCTACTCTACTACTCTACTTTAACTACAATATGTTTTAAGTAATATTTCAAAACATTAAAGAAATAATTTAATACTTATGTGATACCACTATCTAGGTATGATAGTGGTATCACATATGTATTAAATGTTGCTCTTTTCAACCAATTTAAAAAAAGGATTTTTATGTTTGTTACCTCAGAACTTTCGACTGAGTATACCGATTTTGATGAATCTTTTTTTATTTGTTAGCTGTGTGGTCCCATTTCAATTTTGTTCAGTTTTGACAATGATATTCATAAGAAAACTATATAAGTTTGTCATTGTTTGCGAAATACCGAAAAGAAAATAGAAAGGTTTTATATTGAACAACCAAAGATACTCTTATTTTAATTTATTAATGTAATGTGAATGTTCAATGATTTATGGATTTTTGTCACGTATTACTATTATGAAACCAGTATATTTTTATATCTTCAGTTTCGAGGATTTGTTTCGTATTGATGGATTAGTATGGTCTATTTGTTTCCAAAGTTTCATGCACACCACTCATTTAAAACACACTTAAACGGATTCAAAATGCGTCTATTTATTACTTTTTGTAGGGATGTCGAAAGTTGAAAAAAATATCGATATATCGATACATCGATATTTTAAAAAATATCAAAATCGGCTTCGATATATCGCGAAAAAAACATCGATATATCGATATATCGGACCAATTTTTCCAAAAATATCGCTCACGAAATATGACACGCGGAATAATAATGGAACGAAAATTATCTCCCTAAAAATAGACCCTATTTTCGAATGATGACATAGACAATACTAAATACCGCACAGATCATTGATCTGTGCGGTAGACATGGGCGTTTTTGGTTTTGAACGCAAACGGATATTTATCGGATTTCAGATTTCAAAATCGATTTTAAAATCCGTTTTTAGATATCCGATTTCAGATGTGCCGAACTTAGCCAATTCACTAGTTTGTGTTATCATTTGGTTTTATTAGCTAACGACAATCACAAACAATTAATTGTACGAAGCAAGGATACTCGTAGATTTGCGCGATTTTCCTTTATGCTTTAAATCTAGGCTTAGGCAAGAGTATATATTCTGTGGCTTAGGACTAGCAGAAAAGTTATCTTTACGGTTAAAAGGTGGTTAAAAGTAAAACTTTTGCGGCGCATTTAAAAATCGGCTTATATACAATGATTTCTTTTTACATATTTTTTTAGTATTTTTTTTTTGTTTTTATTATTTTTCAAACCATTTACAAAATCAAACCTAATTACTTCAGGTTAGCGTTCAAAAAATGTCAGTTGCTCGACTTTTGATGTTTTTAGACGACATCTTTTTCAGTAATAAATAATCCCGTCTTAGAGAAGAACAATAGATTTCCGTAACAGCAAACCGAAATCGGACTTCCGAAAACGAAAGCACGAATTTCGAATCCGATTTACATTTGGATACTGTGTGGTGGTATTAGATCGCTAGCGTTTTGGTTCGGTTAGATTTCTGAAATCGGATTTTCTTGTTGAGAAATCGTTCGGTATCGATTTGTGTTTGAAATCGGATTTTGGATTCGTTTTGATATATCGGACACATGCCTACAGATCATAGATATGTGGTATATCATTAATCTGAGATCCAGTTACGATTTTTCCAGATACGAATTTAGTTAGATCGTGATATGCCGCTAATAATTAAAAAAATATCGTTTTTGATACGAATTTCGATATTGGTTATTTTGTATCGATATATCGAATCAAAATATATCGGCAAAAAATATCGATATATCGAACAAAAAATATAGATATATCGATACATCGATATATTTTCAACAAGCCTAACTTTTTGACGATTAAGCCGCATTTTGAATCCGTTTATGCGTGTTGTATGGTCTAGTTACATTTACCAAGTCACATGAACGGCAGAATGAAGTAGGTATTATTTCATGTGCTCTTGAAATATGTACAAGTTGGAACTTTCACTAGAGCTCATCCACAATTACTTTTTTTATTCATTGAATAATCGCGTTTCCAAAAGCAATGCTTTTACATTATTCTCGGGAGCTAATCAAGTCTCGCTCCTTTACATTCATGCCTGTATGGTGTCATTTGAAACTTGTCTTTACATTACACCCACCGAACGACACGCTATGTTAACCGGGCGAACTAATCTGACGTAAGACCGGGCCTCACCAGTGAAGGACGTTAGATTCGTTTCGGTACTTTGTTACGTATCTATTTACTGCTGAAAGATATCGCAACGCTCATCTGTATAATAAAAGTAAAGCGTAAACAAATCCAAAAAAGCGAAGCTCCGTACCTCTCACTATGGTGAGGGTCGCCGGAGGTCGAAGTAAAGGGCCGAAAATGGCCTTGAATCGTTCAAAAAACAACAGAGTTTACCCACATTACCTGGAAACATTGAAGAATTCCACAACAGTTCATTTTCAGAGATCTATCTTCCTAAGTGTCCTCGGAAAATTAAATTATGAAATGAGCCGAGGTGTTCCTTATAAACTGCTATAACATAGTCCTTTTCAAACGGAGCTTAAAAAGAGTGGTCAATGACTGGTTCACTGTGACTGGCATGCTAATGCACAGCATCAGGTGGCCCGTTTGCTTTTCTGCCTTTGAACTCAATAAAAAGCTTGAGTCCAAAATAACTTGGGTAAGGTTCATGGTGCATTGTGTGGATAAGGATAAGATCGGTCCATATTATTATTATGTCTTGCCTAATATTTTATTGGCCGTAGAAGGCGGAGATTATGAATGAAGGTTTCAATAATATGTTAATTATATAGTAGTTATAGCACATATTGTAAGTGGTTATATCCATTTGTACATTGGTGCAGAAAATGATGACTAAGCGTTATGAAGTTACTGGGAGCCACTGCCGCATTGAAAAAAAAACTTCACCTTAGGTTTATGAAGATAATAGTGTCGATTCTGACATGATTCTCTAAACTTAAACTTAAATTTGACAACAGTGGTGTCGATTCTAGCATGATTCTCTAAACCTAAACTTAAATTTGACAGCATTATATCCTTGTCATTCTCTATACAGAATGAAAAGGAGAGACTGATGTCAAATTTAGTTTTAAGTTTAGAGAATCACGCCAGAATTGGCACCAGTGTATCCTTGTCATTCTCTATACAAAATGATAATGGTGTCCATTCTGGCATGTTTCTCTAAACCTAAACTTAAATTTGACAACAGTGTATCCTATTCATTCTCTATACAGAATGAAAAGGACAGACTGACATTAAATTTAGTTTTAAGTTTAGAGAATCCTGCCAGAATCGACACCAATGTTAAATTTATTTTTAATTTTAAAAAATCATGCCAGAATCGACACCATTATTGTTGATATAGCACTCTAAAAAGTTAAATTAGTATTAATAAAGTTTTGTATCAAGGCTTTATTTTAAGTTATACTCTAGTCAGAAAAGTGGCAAATTGATTAAATAACTAAAGACATTTATGTGAATTGTGATACTAATACTGATAATATTGAAAAATGTATAATGATAATAGAGTTATTAATTGAATGGTGGTGGTTATATCAAATATGTTTAAAGTAACATAATTATTTATACTTACTATGTTGTCGAAATGAAATTGTTATGTATTTATATATGCTTTATTGATCTGAATTTCTTTGCTTTCAAAAACTATCGATCCTGGTCTATAAAGGTAATGGCTACTAAAGGGAAATATTTAAATGACCCTCAAAATCACAGATTAAGAATAAAAGGTTCCTATTGTTCTGTAATCTGAGACCTAAATTAAATAATACAATTGGTTAGGATACCAATAATAATTGTAGGTATTTTTTAAAGATAAATTACAATTTTTTCTGGTAATCTTTCAAAAAAGTGCCGTAATTAAATTACCGTATTTGTATTGTCTTGGGTCTTAACCAAAACTTTAATCTAGACACAGAAAGCCACACATCAAGTTATCAGTCACAAACAAAAAATTTCAACTTATTGTGTATCTTAATAAAACGGGATAAAGCTCTTAGTCCGTTGGATAAAGTTCACAGTTTTGGATAACTTGATCTATGGCTGTCTGTACATGGAGTTTGGTAACAAAAGAACATTGATTAATCTGTGTACAACGAATTAATGCTTTTGTAAATTGATGTTTTTATTGGGTTGACATAGATTAATATAAGTACCTTTATTGTTTATTTATCTAGTATTATTAACTGTGTCTATGTACAGCTATTGCAATACAAAATATAGAAGTGTTGACATAAAAAATATGCTGCATGGAAATAAGTAAGTTAATAAACAGCATCTCAAATACTTTCATTAATGTTTTAGGTAGGTAAAAGCTTTGTTTGTCCAAACTAGTTAGGGTTCCGTAGTCCTGACAAGGAACCCTTATAGTTTCGTCATGTCCGTCTGTCTGTCCCCGGTTTTGCTTGGAGGCTGTTAGCACTAGAGAGCTGTAATTTTGTGGAGATATGTATATCAATCATGCCGGCAAAACGGTAAAATAAAATTTTGGTAAATATTTTTTTTGGGTAGCTCCCCTATATGTAACCTGGAGATGATTTTAAGTTTTCATCGTTTACTCCATAGTGTGGGGTATCGTTGAATAGGTCCTTTAAAATTAGGGGTTCCTAAGATAATTTTACGAATTAGGGATCCGTTTGCGAAATATTAAAGTTTAAAGTGCTAATTTTTGTTCGAGTAGGTCGTCTCCCCTTCTAAAAGCTAAACTATTGGCTTGAAAAACCTGGGAAAAATTCATGATAATAGTGCTTTTCATGAACTTTGTTAGTACAAGAGTAATAGTTGTTCAACTTATGTATTAGAAAATTTCTGAACTAACAAACATTCCTTAGAAGAAAACATCAAAAGTGAATTAGACGAAGTAATTTGCTTA